TACTTGATCAGTAGGAGCAGAAACATCAGAGCTCTGGCTTTATAGACTCTGGACAGACCATTAAAAATAAAGAGTGTCTCCTTGAAATAATTTGTAATCTATATAGACTAACATAGAGCAGAAGAATAATGTCTCACATACATGTTTTAAGCTTTATTCTGTGATTTTAAAGTTATCTGTGTGATACCTACAGAGGGGCAGGAGCAGAAGTTGGAAATTATTACATCTCACTCTTCCATATAGTGTGGCAGCAGAGACAGATAATGCTTTCTGACCGGGTGGGTCAAACAAGATGTTTCAGAGACAGATCTCCCAAAAGGCTGGTGAAAGAAATGTGAATATTTGTGGCCATGGATTCTGGTTTACAGAGGAACTGATCTCCTTTAAGTCCATGACACCTTTTGTAGTCTTGACTTGGACGTGTACCTGAGCATTGGAAGCTGCTGGGGGTCTTCTGGCATGGCCCCCTCCGAGTGGTTTCCTGTGTTTGTGCTGCCTCCCTGCCCCTTGTACCTGCCCTCATTCTGGTCTATTTCTCATTTTTTTATATTCACTCTTTTTTTCTTTAAAATCTTTTTAAAAAATGTTTTTACTTGTAGCAGTTGAATGATAAATTATCTCACAAATGTTGCTCCTTTCATTTTTTTTTATTGATTTCTGTCGATTCATAGCAGAAGTTATTCATGGCAATGGCATTCTAGATTGATTCAACAGGAGGCTATCAATTACACTGTAATGAAAAAGCTAACCTGACATTTCACCACTTAAACTTGCATTTAACTCTTAGTCATGAGTACTCCCACAGTCTGTCCACTGGAGGAACTTGTGTTATCTGAGCTGAAAGCACTGGAGGTTAAAATACTCTAAAACCAAACAATATATTACAGACAGAAATAGAAACAGAAGGCTACAGGAGTCTTGTTCCAGAGTTGTATTTGTTAATTAGCAGAGAATTATTGTGTTCCATGCATTTTTTAGCCTGGAATGCAATTGAAGGATTGTCACAGAGGATTGGAACTAGATGACTTTTGAGGTCCTTTCCAACCCAAACTATTCTGTGATTCAACCATTAGCAGGGAGAAATCCAGGCCCCATTGAAGCCAATGGGAATTTTTGCACTTATCAAGAGGTCCAGGACTGAACACCTAAATGCAGATACCTGGAAGAATATGGGAAGCAGACACAAATTCAGCAATGACACTGAGGCCAGACACAATGATCCCTGTGATGTTGTCTTCCAGTGAGCTGCCCACCAGCAGTGAAACCCTAATGAAAAACATCTTTCAGAAAGTGCTTTCTGCAACATTTTTTCTGTACTTGTGTATGAGTCAATGTGATGTTGAGAAAGAAAGGCTAAAGAAAAGTGCCTTGGTCTTGCTATTGCAGTAATAGTGATTCATGACAATGCTGTAGAACTTGAATCTGAAATACTTGAGCTTAGCTGGAGGATAATGGGCTCTGTGGAGGCTGTTGTGCAGTTCATAATCAGTGCTGACAAACTATGGAAGGAGACATTTTGGTTAAATCACCATCTGTCTGAACTGTACACTAGTATTGGTTACTTCCACCTTTCTAAATTAAATTAAGTAAGGACAGAGGAACTAAAGTAATAAATAAGGGGAGGGGGACAGGGAAATGGTTTCATGTTATCTTGTAGATCTTCTCCAAGTTGCACAGACATTTGGGAGGCAGATATTTTAGAGCTCAAAAGTCAACATCATATTTCTGTTCATAGATAAACAAAACACAAATATGAGTTTCAGTGTGAAACACAAAGGTCATAAATGTATCTTCTATGATTTTGATATGCACAAATTTCTTCTAACATCTCATAAGAAATAATAATATTGGTAAAAGTAGATGTCTGATTCTGCAGGATTAACAAAAAGATATGTTGCAGGTTTTAAATTTTATAGGTTTGTTTTGATCTTTCCTACTCTCAGCTGTAGAATATCCTGCTATTTTAATTAAAATACTAATTGATGTTTTGGGCTCACAACTGTTGCTCCAGTGCCTCACCTGCACCTGATCAAATGTTTCTTTCATTCAGTGAGAGAAGAACTAAAAACAATTTAATCAGTGGCCCTGCCAATGTGCACCAGCTGAGGACTTGGCCTGAAAACAGGCAACATCTTTTTTTTCCCCATTTGCTTAGTCCTTTCTATCCCTAGAAAGGACTGCTTTTTGGGAAGTCTCTTTGAGAGTCTTTGTTAGCAGGGAAAAGGGTGAGTACCCTTTCTAATTTAAGGATTATTTTAGTTTTATGGTACAAAGCAAGCTGCTATTCTCTGGGTCAGGAGCAGGTCAATGAAGAAACCATGCAAGTGCATTTCAGATCTTCTGTCCTTCTGCTTTTCAAAAACAAGGCTATTGTACAAGTTTTCTGTATAAACCTTATCCTTGTTCATTCTCTTTTTAACGTTTTACTAGCATATTTTGTTCCTGAATGCTTTTCTACACTGCCATGAGGTGCCAAGTGATGATAAGGTTGGGAATTGCTATGAATAATTTCTGGTACACAACTATGAGAATAAATAGGTTTCCCAGGTCAACTCAAACCTCTAATGCTTCTGGAAACATGAGCCTTCTGCCTCTGTGGAATGCAGGAGGCTCTTCGCTTACAGGAGCACATTTTTAAGCCCACAAGTGTGAATGGGTTTGAAATGTGGGCAGCCAACCTCTCCTGGACCTAATGAAAACACGTGTTTGGCAGCACTGGAATTCCTGCTATAAAACAATCCTGCTCTGAGGAATGTTGACTTAATGATTCTCTGGACCCCTTTTTTCTTTCCTAGCGTGCCTGATTTTTTTTGTTCTTTTTTTTGTCACCATGACAGCCAGTGACAGATATGTGCTCTCTGCTTTACTTCTTGCTTCCTTTTTTTGATCATGTAGAATGCTTAGTTTAAGGCATCTCATGCAGCTAAGCAAATGACCTATTTTTAATGACTCATTTTAGTTTTAGCATTCTTCTCCTTACTAGCAGACCATCCAGTCCCTCAGAATTGCTTGTCATAAAACTTTGCCTTCTGCACTTATTTAGTGCAAAGTAAATATAAGTTATTTTTTCAAAAAAGTTTTTATCATTGAAGATGTCCTTCTACCACCTACAAAAATATTCAGCTTCACCTGCAATTTATTAATTTTCTCATTTAGCTTCTGGTGTGTTCATTTTTCATGGTTCAAAAGACTTGTTGTTCTGCCTGCAAGCTTGAAGCATTAGCCCATTATCACTAGGGATCAATATGTAATTTTGCTTCCAAAAATGTTCTTCAGAGATCTGTTTTTCCCATGGCTACTCCTGTGTATGCTCTTAATTATAGTCATGACTAATTCTAACAAGTTGGACAATATTAATTCTGTGTTGCTATGAAATATCTTTCCCAGCTGATTTAGAAAATTGGGTCTCTTTAACTGTAGCTGCTTAGGTGAATTGTTTAAAGTGCTGGCACACAGCTGTAGTTGTAAGAAATTACAAAGTCTCAGGTTTAAGCTGTTAGTACACATTACTGGAGACAGCTTGGGATAGCCACATAAACTGCAGGCGCTCTAATTTTTCTTTAAAACATCCAATTTGTATAATTCCTTCTCTAGTGCTTGTCAGTTCTTTAACTTCTAGCAAAAGATGAAGAACTTGTTTGAATCTGCCTGCTATTTGGCATGCCTGAAGATGCAGCTCTGGACTGAAATTTCAAAATTTCTGGCCAGAAATTCAGATTTTAAAACTGCAAATATCAAGGCTGAATCTTGGTCCTAAATATATGTAATTTGGTCCTAAATATATAAAATTTGTTCCTCAATATATATAATTTATAAATGATAAATATTTTTAGATTTGAATTTAAATATTTTAGATTAAAATATTTAAATAATCTAATTTTTAAATTATTTTAAATATTTTAGATTAAAATTTTTAGATTTGAAAGCCTGGGTTACCTTTGGCTAATCCTTGGCATCATGCATTTAGATAAAAACTGTACTGCAAATAATCATATTTCTGATGATATTTGTGAGGGAGGTAAACAATATCTTTTCATACTCAACAGCTTGAAATAAAACAATCCTTATCTCTTTTCCAGTCGGGAAGGGGTAGCTGTGACTGAGATATGCAATGCCATTTCATGGCCCTTCTTGATAGGCTGCTCCTGGAGAAAGAGCAGCAGGGCCTCTGCTTGTCTCTCCCAAGGATCCCTCACTCCTCTTCTCCATCCCTGTAAAAGAGAATTATCTCCATCACACTGCCTGAGCTCACAGTCCAGGGGTGCTGCAGCCACAGAGCCCCCAGCACCAGCTACTGGTCAGAGGCTGCTTCATCTCCCCAAAATAGGCTTTCACTGAATTTCTAAGGACCTTACAAATCACAGCTAAGAGCACCCCCAACTAGCAGGAGCTGGCAAACATTTTATAACCCTGCAGCCTGAAATAACTGGAGAAAAACCCCAAACTTGTAACTTAGCTTTTTATCTCTCTGTGTATTTTTTTATTATTTAATTTACTCTGTTCATCTTCTGCTTATATGGTACAGTGGCATAACAAAACCTGTTTTTCTATCTTTAAATGCTTAAGGAAGAAAGTATGAAATATGATTCTTACAATAGATTTTTCAGGCTTCTTTTTTATGGGTGTGAGAAGAATTCTTTGTGACAGCAGATTTAGGGAAGAGGAAAGAGGCAGGAAAAGGGATAAGTGCTGATGAGATTGATTGTTGCTACTGAACAGTAAAAAATCTGGGCTTGGGGATGGCAGAGAGAAGCAGTGTTCTGGACAAACCTCGAATATTGCTCTGTAAAGCAGAAAACCTAAATTAATCCTGTGTTTGATTTTAGATTTGTGGCTTGTAAAGACTAAAAGTACAATTTTACATTTTTTCCTTTCCGTATATGACAAGCTGAAGCTTAAGTATTCCCTCTTATGCCTTTAAATAATTCAGGCTTGTCTCTGAGGGGAATACAGCGGGTGTGCCATGGTCCCTCTGCTCGCCATGGCGATGCTCTCCGGAGCACTGTGAGCTGCCAGGACTGCAGTGCCCAGGCCGTGCCACCCTGCCAGGAGCAGGGCTGTGTCTGTGGGAGGGAGCCCGGAGCACTGTGAGCTGCCAGGACTGCAGTGCCCAGGCCGTGCCACCCTGCCAGGAGCAGGGCTGTGTCTGTGGGAGGGAGCGGGGTGCGGAGCGCCATGAGGGGAGCGCAGGCCGCGCACCGGGCCGGGCACTGGGCCAGGGCTCTGTGGGAGCTGCGCTGACACTGGGCCCTGTGTGCCCTCCAGGCCCTCTCCAGGGACAGCCAATGTCTGGCACTGCTGCGTAATTGCATCAATTGCACGCCGAGGTTTTTATGACATTTCCATCTCTGCCTTCTCTTCCGCTGTCTTTGCTCTGTGCCCCATTTTTTCATGAGAGCAAATTCCTCCCCTCTCCCTCCTGAACCTTGGGGGAGGGGGAAAAAATCATTTTTATATAATTTGCTTCTCATATTTTCCGTTCAGTACCTGCGGCAGCTGCTTTGCAGGTCCCCTGCTGTGCGAATCGCCCTTCACAGAGGCAGATCTTCCTGTCAGCGACTGACAAGAGGTGCCAGGAGCAGGCTACGAGACTTTTGAAACCTGTGAGTTGGCAAATCAGCAGGTACCTGTGTGCAGTTCTGGATACGCCCCTAGCATTAGTTCCTAACTTGTATCAAAGGGTTTTTAGGATGATATGGCCCACAGGCAGCGATTCAGGTTAAAAGGAGCACAGTGTCTGCCTCCATCTATCATCTAGGTCTTTTTATTTTAAATATAATGACACCAGCGATTTGTTCTTGGGGAGGATTTTGACTTGTGTTTTGTTGTTGGGGTTTTTTTTGTTTGTTATAGCTTTTTTTTGTTACCTGTTTTTGTTTTTATTTTATAGGAACTGTGTTTACAACAGCCTAAACAAGGAGAAAATATTCTTAGTACTAAACAGCTCTTGTTTTTCTTCTCCAAAGAAATAAAGATGCCTTTCATATTTTCTGAGACTGACAATGTTGAAGAGGCTAAGATACAGGATAAATTGAAGGAAAGAAGGAAGAGACTTGCTGTACCTACCATGTTCTTTAGGGAAAGTTATGGGATTTTTAGGTGGGACTGGGAATGCACCAGACAGTCCTCTCTCCTCAATGTACAGTTGAAGGAAAAGGGTCTGGAGGGGTTTAGAAACTTGGTTTAGTTACTGAACCATCTTAAAGAGGTTTAAAATCAGCCCTAAGTGAAAGCACTTTGCAGAAGAAGGTGTAGCTCTCAGGCAAAACAACACTTGAATCAAATGCAGAATAAATAGCCTGAGTAAAGGACACAGAATTTGGTCCACTGTGATCATTTGATCTGAGTGGCTTAAGGCTTTGCATGCTTCATACTTGCAAACCAGCTGTGAAATGCAGGAAATACAAGTAGCCGTGGTCTGACATTTCCCCATCTGTTCCCAATATTTAATAATTTGCTCTCTTCTCTGAGCATATTAAGTTTATTTATAAATTTTTAAAATGTGTTTTATTTTATATAATGAGCTTAAAGCTATAATGGCCTTTTTGCTCCAAAGGGCTCAAAGCACTCTCCTTTGCCAGATGGAGGGTATTAATTTTTCTGGAGGATTTTGTGTATAAGGTACAGATGGACAAGACACAGTTTTAGCACACCAGGCTTTTGCCTTGTTGTTCTGTGTGTGTTTCTATTCTCTAGAGCTTCTGTGCAGTGAATGTTTTGAAAGGCTAAATTCTTTTTTGCTTTGCTCTGAGGATGATGGAGAGTGAGAAGTAAACCCTGGTTCTCACAGCTGAGATCAGTGCCTTATCAGCCATAAAAAAAATCCTTCCCTTTGAAAAGATTGCTAAGAATTATCCTCACCATCAGCAGGAATTTTGCTGTTGAGCTGAACAGCACTAAACACACCTAAACCAAACTTCAGCCAAGAACAGCTTTTAAAATATTTTAGGAAAGTCTTGTTTTTACATATGAGATTATATATTATATGGAGAAGAAAAAGATACTGGATCTAAATGCCTGTGTGCACTTCTGGGGGCACAGGGACTACAGAGTGCAGTTCTAGCACCAGATCTGTGAAATGATGCCAGAGCTGGTGGCGTGCAGCACTGAGCAGCGAGGACAGCCGAGCTCTGGGCACAGGATCATAACTGACCCAGAGTCCTCACCGAGCCTCTGTCCCTCTGTCTGTACAGGCAGCTCCAAAACACAGAAATGCTCACTGCTCCTCATTCTGGGGAGAGCCCTCAGGGACGAGAATTCCATCTTTCAGGTTCTGCATTGGTGGTTTTTATGGTAATGGAGTCTTTTTCCTTGTTTCCAAGCAGTACTAGGAAAAACCATTTCTCTACTTCATTACCTTGGGTCTCTCAAGGATAAAAACAAGCACAGCTTAAGTGAAATTGAAGCATTGAAGATACTAAAAGCAGTATGAGTCTTCCAATTTGAAAAATGTTGTTAAAAAATAATTACTGCTGAGGTTGTGGTATCTCCCAGCTATATCAGACATCCCCAAACTCTACTGCACTGTGGTCTGTTAAACCCCTAAGTGCATGTCTGTGTAAAGGCACTTGGGAACATTAATTCACAGCTACAGTTCATTCAAATGAATTTTTCTGAGGTTTCCTGTTTAGGAAAGCCTATATTTATTACAAGAGGTCTGGCTAACAGCCCTGAAATGGAGCTGATCACAAGAATAAGAATTTCTATGACATTCCTGCTACAAGCCCTCACCACCAATATTTTTCCTTGAACTCCCATCCTCTATATCCTGAAAATAACACAGGTAAATTCCCAGTCCTTTACACATACTGAAAAACCTACTAAGGAAAGAAATACCATAATAAATGATCAAGTATAAAAAGTTGCTTTGGCCAAGATGTTTCCCAGAAGTGATAAAACAAAATTTTAAAAAATTGATTTCCCTGAAAAAACTCTAATACATGCCTCTGCAGCAATTCTTCAACATGTTTCTCTAGGTTTAGGAATGGCTTTTTGGAATGGTTTTCACAGAAACCACTGAAGGAAGATGATGTTACCTGAATGAATAATAAACAAATTATGCTGAGCAGGTGGTGAAGACATCTAGGATCTAATTTCTACTAGACTTGAAATGTGATCATTCAGCTGCCTTTTCCTTTTTTGTGTGAGGGTAACAAAAACATCTTTGGAAAAGTGCCAGCTTTCCCTATAAGTGTTAAGCATTTCCAAGCAAACCTTTTGAGATTTTTTGGTTTTCTTTGCCAAAGGAAGGTTGATAGTGTTCTTAAAGCTGTCGTAGGTATTTTGATGTGAAGCTACAGTACTTGTATGAAAATGAATTTGTAAAATTTCATTTTCAAGTCAAAAATTCTTGCAGTTTGTAGGATAGTTGGAAGTTTCCAGTCAGATTTTTTGGAAGAAGAGTAACATGAAAAGAGTAATGATTTTCTTGCTGAAAATGAATAGAGATTGAGATCCAGTTTTTGATTCACAGTGCAGCTTTAAGAAAGCCATTCTGGATTTCTGCCTATAATGTGACAGTAACTGAGACCTGTGTATCTTATGTTCATCTTCTTTATTTTCTTTCATTTTTTCACCTTTTAAAAAAAATTTCAATAAGTCCCACCCTTTTTTTTCCCCATGCATTTTATTTGTTAAATTTTATCTCTGTCAGTATTTCATTATCCTTTTAAATCCCTTCCTTCTTTCCTTGTAATTTTAAACCTTGCTAGATTTATTTCCCTGCCTTCCTTCATTTCCCCCCGCCTTGTCTTTATCCTCTTCCTTTCTTTCATTTATTCATCCGTAATTTCTTTTTCATTAGTTTGTTTTTTAAAAATTCCGCTCTCTGTACACTTTTCTTTCCCAGTGGAGTAGAAATAGTGAAGAGACTGCTGCTGTCAGGTTCCACAGGTATTTTGGGTGTGTGTGGCAGGCTTTTGGGGGTCTCCAGAGGTGGCTTCTGTGAGAAGCTGCCACACACTCCCCCCTGTCCCACAGAGGTCCAAGAGAGATCCACCTCTGGCCAAGGTTGTGGGGAAAGAGAATTTAGAAGTCAAGGGAAGCCTGGAAAGAAGGGAGGGTGAGGGAGAGATGTTTTAAGGTTTACTCTTTATTTTGCAGTATTGACCCACAAGGCTTTTGCTCTGTTTGCTCACCCCTGTCCAGCAGAGGATGGGAAGGATAAACCATTCCTGGTGGGTGTTCCCTTGGGGAGGAGAGTGCTGAGGGATGGGAGCTGGAGCATCACAATGCAGGCTGCAGTTTAGCCTGGGCCAAACTAAGCAGCTATCTCAGCTAACAGATCTTGAGAGTTTGGCTCTTTCTTTTCCCCAAATGATTTAATTTAATTGTGCACTTCAGAGGACTGCAGCAGAACGGGAGAGATGTGGAGGGGCTGGAATCCCGGGGCAAGCCAACCTGTGGACAACCAAAAGGACTTGGCTGGCTGAGTGCTGGACAGGACAGGGTTCATGTGCACAGCTGGATGTTTCAATGACCTCCTTTCTTCCTTCTCTGAAGGACATCTTCATATTGCCATTTCCTTTCCTAATTAGTAGATTTTCTTTTCACCCTGAGTCAGCTCTGACAATGAGTTTTGCTGTGTAGGTGTGGAAATTACCCATACATCAAACAGTATCTCTTGAAATGCTCTGGAAAGTTTTGACAAATAGACAATTTTTCACCTGGTATTTAGTTCTTTCTGAGGTGCTCCTAAAACAGAATCAGTAATGTTCCTACAGTCATAAGGACTGAAGAGCAGGGTTGTGGGGTGTTTTTTTTGTTTTTTTGTTTTTTTGGTTTTTTTTCAACAATCTAGAGTTTCCAGATCAGTCTTTTGAGGCTACAAACCCTAAAGTCATCACTGCCTCCTGCACAGGCAGACACCTGTGGAATCTCTGAGGCTCTGTTTTGTTGCAGGACTGGATGTTATAATCACCTTGTGTTCCTGAAATTCTTTGTGAGTTTCAATCTTTACCAGCAAGTTGCTACTAAACACCCTTTTCAATACTTAATTTTGAAATTTGTAAAAATAGGCCAAAAATGTGTCCTGGATTTTTTTAATAAAATGTGCGAAATGGACAGTTCATGTGACAGAAAGCCATAAAAGAGCTTTTGTTTTGAATACAAGAGGCACTGTTTCTCTGCAGGTGTTTGCATGAGGAAAAGCTGCAAGGGTAGCATTTGTCAGCTTAAATAATAAGTACAGAACTGTATCTTCTCCTACCAATGATTCTTCCAGTGAATGTGATCACGAAGGAAATTGAATTTAAGCATCAGCTTATTCCCATGTTAATTAGGGCACTCCCTGGCTTTCTCACAAGATAACAGTAATCCAAACAGAATCAAAAACAACTTCTGCTGGGTTTTGGTGGCTAAGGCTGTAATTGTACTATTTTAGAAGAAAGCAGCCCTAAGAGTAGGTGTGATTGTGGCTTTGGAGGTACGGCCCAGACCCAGGGCTGAGGGTAATTGCTGCTCAGCCCGGGGAAGCTCATGGTGATAGGAGCTGCCTCGGGGTGTCTCTCTGTTTATGTAGCTCCACTCTCCCCTAGGCTACTTCCCTGGCTTAATCCCTCCCCTATCCAGCTTAGAAACGCGTTTCTTTTCCTCATTTGAGATTCCGTAGACCCTTCATATTTAGTATTAGTATAAAGAGGAAACAGAGGCCCAGGAGAAAGATCAGAGTTTCTGTTCTGTTGAGGCATCAGAGTCATTCTTCCCTTAATGAAGAGAAACAGCAGGATGGATAAAAAATCAATGACTTAAAAATAAATTGGGTTTTTAATTTCAGTTTTGAAAAGTCTTTCTTGAGTGAAAGTTTTAAATTAAGTTTTAAACCCACACTGAGTCCAATTTATTCTGATGCATTAAATAATTCAAAGTTAAAACAAAATAAAAAAACAAAACCCAAAACGTGTTGCTGGCAAGGTATGTGAATCACATCAGGTCAGTGAATCACTACTTGTTACCAGTGAAAAGAACACAATTCTACATTGCATCTAGTGATT